CAACCCGCCGCTAGAGGGAGAGCACACTTCCAGTAATCTGTCAGTCTGGCAACCCGCTGCTTGCCGTAGACCATATCTCTCGTGATCTGCCAATGGGCCAACCCACAGCTGGCTGGGGAGCACATTTCTAGTGAACTGCGAATGAGATAACCCGCGACCAGCGGGCGAGTATACTTCAAGTGAACCGCCAATCAGGCAACCCGCTGCCAGCGGGGGAGTACATTTCGAGGTGAACTGCCAATCAGGTAAATCGATGCCAGCGGGGGAGGGTATTTCAAGTGAACTGCAAATCAGGCAACCCGCTGCCAGCGGGAGAGTACATTTCAAGTGAACTTATTTTTATTTGTTACTCATTTAAAGTATAATTTATTTAATCTCTTCTTTTGAAGTAGTACGGGGATACCTGGTTAAGCCTGAGAACGTTTGGGAACTTTTGAGTCTGATACAGCGAACTCGGCGTCTGAGCCCGGTTCAACCCCTAGAGTATGTGAGGCTGATGAGACGGAAAGAGAGTGACGGGGGTTGGGCGGCCCTACCGCTAAAGGCGAGCCCGAAGAATGGCGAATATTTCTGATTAATTAATCTCATTATAATCCTACAGGCAACGAGAGTCTTCAGACATGAAACTCATAATGACCATGCAGCAGGTGAGTGCTGAGGCCATCACCCTGCTGATCGCCGAGGACCTCGGAGACGGGCGTGGTGAGTGACAGGCGCCGTTGCCCTTCGCTTCGGCGATCGGTAGGCGACCCTTCCCCGGGTTCCCTCATAACTTTGGCGCCGTTGCCGAGGAGGGGAGCAGCACCCCCAAGGCCGCGGCCTTCCCCAACCAAAGGGAGTGCAAGGGCTGATTAGTCAAACACTAATTAGCTTGTTTTTTTGATTAGTTTTATTTTTTATAATAATTTTATTTAGTTTTTTTTATATATCTCCCGATCCGCGCGTTTTCGAGCGAGCTGCGCTGGGAGGAAAGTTCGCCCTCTCGTCGAGGCAAACGTTTATAGATGTTTTTTGAAAAATTCTAACTTGTAGAAAAAAAGATATGAAATTTCTTGTATTTTTCTAATGAAAAATCCTAGAAATAAAGGATTAAAATTTCTAATTGGTTTTTCCTCGATATCTCCTGATCCATGCGTTTTGCGCGAGGCGCACAAGGAGCAAAGTTTGACCTCTTGTCGAGGAGAACGTTTTGAGACATTTTTAGAAAACTTTTAATGGCCAGAAAAGGAGATATGGAGTTTTTTGTAATTTTCTAATTAAAATTCTGAAAATTATTAATTTCCTTTTATTTTAATTACGAAGAAAACAAGCGAAATTAGGTGAACCCCGCTGAGATCAAAGTTGGTCCTTGTATTTTTCCCCACATTTTGAGACCTTAGTCGGGGAAATCGGACTCCGTTACGACGAGTGGTGACCGCCAACAGACAGGAAAAGAGGAGAAAATTAAGAGGAATTAGTGATTTTCTTTATATTTTTATAAAAATAAAAGGGAAACAGAAGTCGGCAAAAGTGATCCGTTGGAACCCGACTTTTAACTGACTACAAACCGCCGGAAAATTTTCTGCCTCGAGAAGTCGGACGTGGTGGCGTGCGGTCGCGCGCGAAACCCCAAAACCCTAATTGGGGGAAACCCTAATTAGGGTAAGCCCTAACCCTAAGTTAAGGAAGGGCGGTGCGTGGCCGGGCGGATACAAGTCTTTCTATTCGACCGGTGATGGGAAAATTTTGTATAAATCCAGTTGACCAAATTGAAATTAATCGAAATTGGGAATTTTATTTTAATTAAATAATTTAAGTTGTAAATCTGTTTTAAGTAATAATTTGTCTTTGAAAATCGATTAAAAATCAAAATAAATATTTAAAATTCTTCAAGAAAGGGGAGTCGGCTTTATTTCGACTTTGTGATTCGGGAGATACTTCGCTTAACCCCATCCCAACGGGGGGAAGCAAAGTGCTGCCGAAATTTCTCGGCAATTYGCTGAATTTTATTGAATTAAATCTTAAATAATTAAAGAAAATACTTGAAAATTAGCTAAAGATTGAGATACTTTTTCAGTTCTTAATCTTTCTTGTTAAACATCTTCTGTCGGTATTTTGAGGTCTTCAGCCAAACCCTATCCAACGGGGGGGAGCCAAAGTGCTGCCGAAACTTCATAAAATTTCATAATTTAAATTATTAATTTATTTTTTTTATATAAATATATTGAAAGCGATTAGGGAAATTAATTATAAATACGTTAGAAATTTGTTTCTTTCAGCGACTTTCCTCTTGTTTCATTTGGCTTTAGTTCAGGGTAGGTAGCATATGTCTAGGGACAATAGTCTCAAACCCCATCCCAACGGGGGGAGGCAAAACCCTGCCGAAATTTTAATAAATTCCCCAAATTTTATTTCAACCCCAAAAAATCTTCAAACTCGGCGGGCTTATATATGTATTCATCCTTAATATATATAAACTAAAAAAGAAATTTTATCCCAACTAAATATATTTTTTTTAATTTATCATTGGAAAATATAAAAGAATTCCCTAAAGGAAGAAGGGAAAGAGACGCTGCGGTAACCTGGGTTGGGGTAAACCTACTGGCTTGTTCCCAAAGGCCTGAGGCAATTGACGAAAATTTTCAGTTATTAAAGTTATTTTTTTATAATTATTTGTCAAATATTCGGATTAAATCAATAGCAAGGGGTAGAAGGAAGCACGTGCATAACTTGCGGCTCGCTAGGGTTTTCATTACATCCCCCTATGCGYTGAGCGCGAGGTAGTGTTTTCTTCTTGTTTATAAGCAATTTTTATTAATTTAGACGATAAAAAAATCTCTTAAAATTGCGAAAAAGGCTTAAAAATTYAAAGAGTGAGTACGCTCGGCTCTTAATTTTGGGTCTTGACTAGGGGACAGGGTCTGTTGCTCGGATACCTATTCGAGGGTGCARTAAACAGAACTCCCTCGAGTCTAGCCCACACCTTATATTCGAGGGAACTCGAATATAAGACCTATAAGCCAATCCGAAACCGGGATTTCAACACCCTTTCCTTTTTAGATCAGTCTAGATTAGTACGACTTCAGTGCGGCTCCGAGTCGCAAGGGCTCGGTCGATTTGCGGAAAGTCCCAGTTAGACTGTCATCGCGCCTCCGTTCTAATTCCTTCTGTACTTCTCTCTACCAGTGTCAATTGAGTTTCTCTCACATCCCTATTTCTGACTATTCCGAGTCTTCCTTTTTTCATATGTTATTTTGCTGTTAGAGGTGTTCCCCCATCCCGCCCGCCCTTCTCACTAAGCTTTTTGCATACTGCAGGGTGCCGCTGATCAGGGTTGCGGCCCTCCCGCCCACTCCTTCTCTTAGGCTCTGCTAACCAGGGTTTGTGGCGCCCCTTGGCAACTCAAAATTGGGCCAGGCTGTTGTCTGTAAGCTTTAATTTTAAGCCAGCCCAACGCCCCAACTGAAGAAGTTCCTAGCGTAGTTGTTAGGACATAAGGGACTGTTCACAAATAGGTCCGGGTTGTCGGATCAAACATTAGGTCTGGGCTGCCAGTACTAACATTGGGTCTGGGCTGCCGGTTCTGACATCAGGTCGGGGCCGCGAGTTCTGTCACAGGTCCGGGCTGCTCCAACTGTCATAGGTCTGGGCTGTAACGCCTGGCGTAAGTGCCCCACTACAACTTCTGGTAGCCTATGGAACCAGACACGATGGAGCCACAACCGACCACGAGCGAAGTAGGAGAGGAGTACACGACATCGACCGATCGAGCGCAAAGGGATCTGAAGGAACGAATTAGGCAAGAAGCACCGCTGAGATGGGCTGACCAAACCAATGACGGAGGGCCCGACACGAGAGGCGAGCCAGTTGCTACAGAGCCGCAGGAGACTCTAAAGATGGGTACCTCGAGCGGACGACGAGAAGCGACGAGGCGGCGCTCCCCCGAGTACGAGCGGAGGGACACCATAGCGGATAGGCACAGAGACGAATGGAGAGAGAGTTTGAGGGATTCCTATTGGAGGGACAGAGATAGAGACAGGGCGCCGCCCAGGCGAGTCTTCGACCCCCAGATATGGGAGTCACATCCACTCTCTTACGAGAGCAAGGATCGCTGTATTATTACGCACAAGGCCTCAGAGCCTCCTACCTTCAGGGGCTATGGTATCACAGAATATCTGGAGAAGTGGGAGCTTCACACCAGCCGGAGTCAGTGGTCGGAGGAAGAGATTATAGAGAA